CGGGAACCCCCCAAGCCTGCTGTGCCCCGCGGTCCCCCTCCCGCTGCCCGCCGAGGCGCCCTCTTACCCCCGAGTTGCACCCCACATCGAGTCCCAGCAGCGCGCGCCGGGGAACAAGCTCCGCAAGCCGCAAGCTGCATTGGGGCGAGGGGGGACCTGCGGCCTTGGTGGGCTGGCGGGGACAGGGATGGGGTCAGGGGACAAGGCCATCCTCCCGCTGCCAACAGACCAGCACAGCCCCAGCCCCCCTTCTCCCAGCCTTTCCGGCTCCATTTGAGTGAAAAGAAGAATTCTTAGAGATTTTGTGTAAAAACACCCTGCCTGGGCCCCGTCACACCAGGGCAGGCTGAAGAGGGACTGCTCCAACCACCCAGGCGTCACCTTCGGCCCTGCCACCTTTGCCCCAGCATTGCCATGGCGATGCTGTGGCCTAGTGTGGGGGCGCAGGCCTTGGGGGGGGGTCCTTGGGGTGCCCCCCGCCCAGGGCGCCTCGGCAGCAGGGCCCTGGAGGAGCCACCTCCCCCGAGAAACAACCCACGTCCAAAGACCGGTGTCAAATAAAGCCAGAATTTTTAGCTCCGCTTTCACTATGTGCCGGTGTCAAAACCCACCTGAATCTGGGCAACCCAACCTTGGCCAGCGCTTTCCCCATTTATAAAAGGTTTTACAAACTTTTATAAAAATGTTATTTAAACACACACACGTATATATTAAAAAAACCCATATAAATGTTATTTAAATCGCATTTAAACACGTGATTGCCCTGGGATTGCCCAGGCCCCCAGAGGCAGGCAGCTAGCAGGAGGTTTTACAGCAGAAGAAAATGAAAGCTCGTGGTTAAAGGAAGGAAAGAGTTGGCATGGGGAAGGTTTTAGGGTCAAGTTGACACAGGGAACCTGGATTTCGTTTTATGTTGATTTTTTATCACAGCGTGAAGAGCAGAGGGCGCCAGGAGCTCAGAAATGTGGGTGAACCGCTCCTGACTGAATCAGGGCCCTTCTTGCACTTTGTTCTTGCCATGGAAGAAGCAAGCAGGGATCGGCAGGGATCCCCTGCACTGTGGCAAGGCCGGTGCAGAGTTGGCATCAAGACTCCATCCTTCTTTGAAATACCTCGAGCACGGAAGGGAAGGCAGGCAGAAAGAAGTGCAAAAATAAATAAAAAAATTTCCCCCTTCTCCAGGCAGTGGAATTCAGTTTTTTTGAGGTCTCCTCTGACTCTCTCTGGCTGTATTTAGGGCCCACAAATTTCTGTACCGTTTGCTATAGGCATGTGAAACAGCACGATCCCTTCCTCTTTCCAGCATCCTTCACACCCCGATGAATCTCCCTGTCTCCTCCCTTCTCCCACATCCTACCTCTGAGTGGTCCCACTTTGATTAAGCGAAATGAATTTTTGCCCTGTTCCTCAAGAGCCAAGTGTTGAAATTTGACTGAGTCATCAGCCTTTTATCCCATTTGTGGTAATTACAGGAACAGCTGATGATGCCTCATATAAATGCTCGTGGCCACCTCGTTGTTTGCATAGAAATGCGCCGCTTCAGTTATTTTTCCACAAATGCTGTCCCACAGTAGAGCATTACCCAGCACAACACAGGGCAAAATATTTTCTTGCCACAGAAAATGCACCTGTCGGCAAGAAAGACCATACTGGCTGTACCGCACTGTTTAGCCACACTTCTTAGGAAACAAATCTCACACCTGCCTTTTGGGCACAGCTCCTTCCAAGGAGCAGAGATCCGTTGCTACAAGATGCTGCAGCTGGGATTCCTCTCCCCTGACAGCCTGGACTAATCAGCCCTTCAGAGCTGATAGAGAGAGAGGAGTTTTCACCTCCCCGTGTAGGCATTAATTTAGGACAGGTGAATTGCTCTCTGGAGGCATTTTTTTCCCATTGACTCTAGAGAAAGCTTAGTACATCAGGTTGCTCTCCAGAGCTACAGAAAATGCCCTCTGAGCAGGTGCCTGGCTTACAACACTTGCTTACCCCCACTTACTTGTTTTTTAATCCTGTGGCCACTTAAACCAAGTCTAAGAGAGAGCAGGATCCTCACCCAAGGAGCCCTTTGGCCCTCAGTTCTCTCACTTCTCATGTATGATGCCTATGCTGGAGCCATATACATTTTATTACTTTGTGTAGGATGTGTTCCTTAGTCATAACCAGGGAGGGGACAGCCTGGTCTCCATTAAAACTTTGGGCCATGCCACATGAGGCCATAGTCTTGGTTATGTTTTCTGTTTTAAGGGGATGAAGCACCAGCTGTGCAAGCAGACCTTCCTTCAGCTGTACTTCAGTAAGGAGACCTCACAACAGCAGTAACGGTTTTGCAACAATTTATTAGCAATGTTCAGAGAAAATACAAAATCCTATTTACAATGAAATCATAAGAATGGCTGGACAAAAGGAGCAGGGGGATACAGAGCCAGTGTCCAGGTGATGCAGACCTCAGATAAAGGACATCCACACAGAGGAAGAGAAGCAGCCCTGCACCTCCCCTGCGCAGAGGTCAGGGAACCCAGGAGGAACATGCCTATAGCTATATCCCACCCCTAATCCTGTGTCACTCAGCCTCATGGGGACTTCCACCTCTCTGAGCATGTACGTAGCATTCACTGCTTCAGTCCAAGTGCTTTCACTGGGCCTGGCTTAGATGGACTGCAAGCCACAGGGTCAGCACAGAAGAGGGACCAGGACACATGCAAGAAGGGAGCCCTACGGAGGGGCAGGGGAGGGCAGCAAGCCATCTCCACTCAAGTGGCCTGGAGACAAGCAGGTGCCATGCAAGCTTTTCCCACGCGGAAGCAGAAAGCCAGGAGGAAGCAGCAGCTCAGGCAGCAGCAAAGTTACTCCACACCAGAAGGAAAAAGAGCAAGAGATCCAGAGTGGGCTGCAGATCCATGTTCTCCTCCCCAGGTCCCAGGGTACACAGGGCCAGCTTGGAGGACTCCCGGTGCAGAAGGGAGAGCTGCAGAGCTCTGGTCCAGATTGCCCGCCAGAGGACGAGTTTTAGGACTATTTCAGAGTCAGAACTCATCACGTAACTCCATACTCCCTCCCCAAAAGCTGGAAAGCAGAAATACCTACAGGCCTTTTGCTGTGAGCAAAAAAAGGCCGCACAGCCAGTCTGCTAAGATAGTTCAGAAGGGCCTGCATGGGTCTGAGCCAGAAAATTCCCTCTTTAAAATCCTATTTCATAAACTTTTAGGGTGCCTCCCATGCTGTCACCTCTCCCAATTCTACCTGCTTGGCAATTCAGGGCCCTTGTTTCTTCTCTGGCATGTACTGCAGAAATCAGTGAGTCATGATCTTCATGCTATCACCACCCAATAGTCTCCCTTATTCCTAAAAAAAAAAAAGAAAAGGGGGGGGGGGG